GCTCACTTTGAATAAATATATAAATCATGTAGAAATTCATAAACTTTCCTTTGTAAGTACCAATCAAAGTGATATACAAAAAAGTTGCTCAAACTGATAAAAAGGTAACATAGATGAAATGAACAAAAGATAACCAGTTTATTTACTGGGAAGAGTTATGCATTACACCATATTCAGTCGGTAACATAAACCGAGATATAAGAATTAACATATTGGCTTCGGTTATTTTCTTAGCACTGGAGTATCTTTTCCAACCATTGAGTGCATGATCAGATTACAGAAATGCAAGCGCATATACGGATTCTCCATGAGGCATTCACTTAGGATTGTCTGCAATTTAAAAAAATGAAAAAGGACAAGCAATAATAAATTCATAAGAATATTTTTGCATTTAAAATAAATGCATATGTCTTTGAGAACAAGTTTCCTTTGAAGTTTGGATTTTTAAAAATAATTAGCAACCAAAGAGTTTCTTAGGTCAGTCTTTTAGTCATGTTTTCATATGATATTCTCATTATGCGGAAACACTTCATATCATTTAACTTAAAAGGCATAATAACAAAATTGCAATTTAAAGGTGGAAATAGCAGAATAATTACAACAGTAATCATACAGTGTACAAATGGCATTGGCCACACATTCCACGAATGTTAATGCTGGAAAGAAACACAGTATCGGAATCATGTTTGGTTCATCCCATATGCATAATCATGCAAATAAAAACACTGAGTAGATTACAAAAATGTCATAAAAGATTTTCAAAGAATTGTTTAATTGACTGTAACAGTCAAACCATCGAGTTTTAAAATTCTGTGGCTATAAGGTTAAAATCATTTACTTCCTCTAAGTTTTGGTGCAAATCTTACTATGAATCCAAACAACAAAATGATTTGTTCTGTACCCCCATTATCATTGAGTGGTGATCTGTCAACAAAATGATGGCATTTCTCTTTATATTTCTCTGATCTTTAAGTTTTAAAAAGACTTTTAAAAAAGAAAAACCATCGCGCCAGAATGCATTGAATTTTCTTCTCAGTGTTTTCATTAGAGAACCATAATGATCAGAGACTAATTCTGAAAGAAAAAAAGTTAAAATAAAAATGTGCTCTCAACCAATGTTATACAGCAAGGAAACTCCAATCGCAGAAATAATCTGGTTCAGCAGTTCATCCAGGCTTCAGTTTAAAGAGGAAAAATTTTAAATAACTCCAGAGGAAAGGGAAAAAAGATACCGAGGATCAGAGCCATGCATTTCAATATGGAAAGGAGACCAGATATAGGAACAATCTCCTTACATTCCTAATGGAGAAATCACTAGAAATGAGACTTCTACAGTGTTCATATTATGAATATGGGAAAGCTTACATGATGCCAAACATCTCGTGCAAACATTTTACACAGCATACTTCTATGCTCTCACACCCTTATGCTAAAGGCAGTTAATTGCTGCTCTTCTTTGAAAGTAGATTATTTCTGGATAACCCTTGATTGAGGAACATATTTTAATACTAAATATCTTTTTCAGTTATACTCTGAGTAAAAAGAATAGAAATCTACACAAAATCTTTCAGATGTTAAATAATAAAATCAGGCTGCAAATGAAATACATCAGGGACAATGGCAGTTAACTTGGCATTTAAAATAAGATGAATTTAATTACAGACACAATTCATCTGGGGGCATTATTACAGACAATGGAAAAGACCACTCGGGAGCTAGATTGGTCTTGTGTGTCCAAGGAAAATGATTTTAAGGTGAAAATTATGTGAATATCAGGACTGATCACACTACCTATCACAACTCCAGTTAACATTTTTTTGAAGAATTATGTTCCCTTCCTTTGGAAACATATTCTTGTAAATTTTGCAATCTTAAATACAAGGACTATTTTAAAATCACTCTGGTTCATAAACAAAAAAGCTGTAGGGCAATTTTTAGAATTGTGAGCTTTTTCCTAAGAGCTCCTTCTGAACCCAGTCCTACTTTATATCTACAACATCAATGCATTTATGGCATCCTTGGGTTGAACCAGCTCAGTTGCTTACTGGAAATCCATGTTTCCCCCAATGTGTCATTTTGAGAGACAGGTGATGTCTTTTGGCTGGTTGAATATAATAGTTATACATTAAACTTGCCATTCTTACCACCGTAGAAAATATACTTCATTTTTTGCTTTTACATTTTGAAATTACCATTTGAGAACTATAGAGGATTTTTTTTTTAATGCAGAATATCAGGAAATGTTCACATTTATGGTTTATCTGACCAACGTTTCATGCTTGCTTGAAACAGGACTATCTGTACAAGAATATTTTCCAAAGCACAGGAAAAGCAAAGATTGTAGATGGAAGATTCTTTTAAGAAAAGATAATGTTTGAGAGGCATTTACCCCTAAGGGATTGCAAACCTTTTTTTTTCCAAAGTATTCCTGAGGATGTTTGTTTTTTTAGACAGACAATTGAGGCTTTTTACAGTAAGATTACTACATTCTGGACAACTTTAAAGATATGAAATATAGCTGCAAGGAAAAATACCAGCAATCCTGTTTTATTTTTTACCAAATATTTTGGAAATATTTAAGATTGCTATCCTACTTTCAAGGAATTAAATATTTTATGGCTAACCAGAATAATTTATTTTAAAATCTAAAATAAAAGAATTATAGGATTACAAAATCCTAGAATTATAATACACTATCATAAGATATCTTGCCACTTAACTTAATCCTTACTGGACAACCAATATTTGATTAAAAAAAACCCAAATTCTTATAATTATCAATTTTGATGATTCATTTCTCACTGTTAAGAATCTCTTTCCTAAAGTTAATATAAATCCTTCACACTGAAGACTTTGTTTTTCTTATTCTAATCTTAATAACAATATCTATAGTTGGTATCTGTCATTGGTTACATTTTCTCCAAGATCAATAGTATACTTCTTTCTTAGACTAAAGTATAATCTTTCTGAATAATTCTTTTCTTAATTATTTAATCATTTTGATTTCTCAGAGTTATTCAAATTCCTCTTACTGAAACAGAATTAGATGAATGGAATCTGATGATTCATGAGCTGACTGGAAAGACTAATCTAAGGGTCCTGCATGCTCCCATGCACTCAAGCCAAAGACAATATATTGCTTTGTCTTGTTTTACCCTTTAACTATGAAAAATCCTCAGCAGAAAGCATTTCTGCGTACTATCCCTATCAGCATGGTAATTGTGCTTACTCTAAAAATATTACCTGGTTACTCTGCTAACCATGCTTGCTAGTTACCTTTCATCTTTGCCCAGCGTGTTTGAAATAAGTAGCCAGTATTCTTTATATTTCTGTACTCTTTTCCCCCCACATCTCCCTTCAAGTGGTCTAACTGAGGTTTGTTCTTTTTGATTTTCATTAGTTCTTCAACTGGTCAATTTCCTTGTGAATCCTGATATTCTTTACAGGTACTGATTTTTATCAGTGCTACACATATTTATTCCTTTTAAATGCCTATAAATAAATATAGATAAGGCTGAATTTAAACTATGCTAAATGATGCCACAGTGTAAATACATGGAATTCTCTCTTACTGCTTAGGGGCTATTACCTAATTTTGTGCTGAAAATTAAAGATTCATTTCCGAGTTTCTATACCTTCTTGGCAAAGTTTTGCTAAAATGAACATCTTTCATAGGATTGATATTTCAAAACAAACATTTCCCACTCTGTTAATATAAAAGAAGTGAAATAAAATTAGTATATAGTAGACTTGATAAACTTTACATTGGAAGAAAGAAATGTGTCGTCTGTGGCCCGGCCTTGCCCTGGGTCACACATACAGAGCAAAGGAGCAAAGATGCAACACTGCGCTTCGGTGGGACTGCTGCTCTATGGTTACTACTCAGCTCCCTGGACCACCACCGAGACTGACGAGGCAATACAGGCAGGTGTTCTGAGGTACTTGATAAAATGGCATTATTTTCCCTCAGGCACACACAGTTTTTATTAAAAGTCAACTTTACAGCTATACCACACTTCTCAGGTCCACACACATAATGCTTGAAAAAGAAATAGCAAAGAGCAAAATAAAAGAAAACGCAGTGGTAGGGAGTAGCTACCTTTAATTGAACTCTAATATAATCCACACTGTGTCACGAATACTGGTACAGGGCAGATACAACACCAGCAAGATGAAGGAAGTGTTTGGGGACAGCAAGGCAATGCAGGTGGGAAAGAGCAGAAGGCGAGGCTGCCAGGATCAAGACTTTATGAAGATTTCTTTTTCTGTCCTTGAACCTGAATCTCTAGTAATGGTGAAGATTCCTAACTACTTCAAGTTGCATAATAAATGACACCGTTGAAAACAGCACTCGTGTAAGAAACTACAGACGTGTTGGTTGCTTTGGTAATAGTGGCCCCTGCCGAAAAGGTGCCTGACTGGTGCAAGCTCCTGCACTGTGCTTTAGGACCTACCCACCGGCCGCCACCTTTGATGGACCATCCATTCTGTCGACGTCCCACCACGTCCCCTCACCAAGCCGAGTGGCTCTTACTAGATCTTCGTGGTTAGAGCCCCGTGTTGTTAACTATCTTCTGTGTTAACAGTGAGGATTGTTTTTGTTTTACAGAGAAGTTACGGATGTCGTTACATGAAAAGGTCAAACCGTTGTTATTTTAAATAAGTTAAGGCGACCTGACTAGACAAGGAATCAGGGCTAGGAGCGAGCGTGTGGGCAGCACTTGGTTAAGGAGCCCGAGAGTGTTAGACCTTTCAGCTCAATTAGCTGTTTTCCTTGTTCGTCAGATTATGTGCAAAATAAATTTTGCCGTGAAAATCTACTGCCTTAAATCAAGTCGTAAGTTACCCAGCAGAATTTGAAAATGAACCAGGAACGTGTGTTATCTTAATATGGATAATATGATTGTAGGCACCTGAGTGTTTGTCAAAAGTAGACAATGAGCTAAGGTTTATTGTTCTCTATTGTTTTTTGGCAAGGAAGATTCATTATGAAAAAAGCCAACAACAACAAAACATACAATTTTAATCAATATTTGAACACTTTCTGGGTAAATTCATTAAGCAAAGGCGAACTTACATCTACCTATGTATATATTTTCCCATTTGTATTTGATACCTTTTAGCAGGAAAGACTCACAGGAGGGCCCTGAATTTGGGAGAAGTAAAAAAAAATTCTGGTCATTAAATAAACACACCGTTTCCCCCCTTCGTGTTATTTAGCCTTCTTCGACGTTATCACGCACACATACACACACACAAAGCAGCACCAGTGCATCTACTTGCCTGCAGTTTTGAAAAAACAAAGATGCTGTCAAAAGTTGAATAAGTCAATGAATCATCACATAGTCTCTTTCATAGATTTACTTAATGTCCAGTGAAGAATTCTAGTTAAAAAAAAAAAAAGCCAGCAGTTAATGAGCTACTGATTAGAAAATAAGTGCATAAACAATATCAGTGTAGCAGCAAAATACAGTTACTGTTAACATTCTAATGCACCTCATTTATCATTTTGTGCAAGAAAAATGACCACAGTTTGGCCAATTCCAGATTTCAAACTATATTAAAACTCATACTTAATGGAGCAAATTATGCTTTTTAAAAAATAAATGAATCAAGTTCACCTCTCACAGAAATGATTTTTATAGACATAAGTCATGGGGCAAATAAAGTCCAAAATAAATATCAATGATGAAAAAATATCGGAATCAACGTCTCTAGCCGAATGTGATGTACGAGGAAAGGTGACTTTACAAGATGTGTATTTTACATGGTCTTAGGTCTCTCTTACGCGATCGAGATAAAGCCAGTCATCCGAGATACACGTGTCCCGTTTCGTTTTGGTCTTTCATTGAACTGTAGCCGTTCCATTGCAGAAGCTTATCTGTGACTCAGAGAAACCAGAGGACGGTTGTCACGCCGGAGTCTGCTCGGTGGGGCTCTTCTCAACTCTTTCATCGCCCAGAGCGACGGGCCGATCCCATCATCCGTCTGCCCACCGAGGTGAGGGCGCCGGCTGGATCTCGGGCAGTGTCCTGCGTGTGGCTGCAAACGGTCAGCCCAGATGCTCGTCGGCGGGAGCCGGAGGGTGGGGGGAAGGAGGCCTGGAGAGGCGGCCGAGGGGGGCGCACGGGGAGCTGGAATGTGGCTGCTCGTCGAGAGCTAGGTCAGGACTGAAAACGAGAGACAGGCCGTCAGCAAGGGAGGCGCGGCGCGGGCGCCTCGCGGTCCCCGAAACGAAACGGTTTCAATCTAAAGCATGCCAAGACTACCGCGCTCTTCAAAACCACGCACGAGAAAGAAAATGAAAACGTGTTGGGGAAATACGTGAACTCTTCCTTGCGATCACTTTTTTCTTTCAATTTTTGCATATGGTCTTGTTCCCCTAGGTCTCTGGGTTAGTTGCAAGGTTGTTTTTTGTGTGTGTGTTTTTTTAGATCAGTTCTTCTCAGACTTTAATGTGCACACCAATCTCCCGGGGAGCTCAGTGCAATGCAGATTCTGGTTCTGTAGGTGGGACCTGACAACCTGCATTTCTAACAAGCTCCCGGGGATGCGTGTTGGACCAAGGCTTCAGAGGATTCTAAATCAGGTCTATGGTAGACCCAGATTCAATAGGATAATTAATTTGCCACTGGAATCCTAATTTGCTCCAAGGGTTTCCCTCCTATCTGCTTTAGCTTGGCAGTTTAAATAAGACCGAGGAGTTTTAAAGCATTTCCTATTAAGTATATAATGCAGACCTCTGAGAGCCCCTGATTTAAATAAACTCAGAAATGCTCAGGCTCCTCAATGCCGTGAGAAATAATCATGAGTAACAAGAAAGCAAAATAACTAAATTTCCTAAGGTAAACTACAAATCGAATTTGGGTTCAGACCTTCTGAAATCTAACGGAGGAAATCCCACTACGGGGATATTTGTGTTATTGAAAGAGATAGGCTTCTTCCCACAACTCTGCTTTTCCCCTTTATATTATGAAGTTCGGTACCATAGAACTCATTTCTGACAGGAGTAATGTTTGACAAAACTATTCAAGGTTTATTATTATTTATTAATTTATACATAGCTTTTAAATCTAATATTACCACCGAAGTCAGTCAAAATTGTCATTAAACAATTTTCACCTTTGGTACTGAAATTATCTTTCATGTATATCTCAGAATATCAGAATTCTGATATGAAATCAAAATTATGTCAAATACTGATCTGCTTGAGGTCATGCTTACTTCCCAAAGTCTTTGAACTGCAATAAATTTAGTGTAAAAGGTGATATGCCCTTCTGTATAGTTAGTACAACCAGTGATAATTACTTTTCCTATATATTTTAAAAACATGGTTGGTAAACATGGGAGACCTGGAGTTTCAAGAGGACTGAGAAAATATTTCATGGCCAGATTCTGACTCCCCTCTCCAGTCAGAGTCAGATGGCCTGGGAAACACAGCAGCAGGCAGACTTTCCCACAGACTAACAGAATTTCTTTCTGTTAAACCTGCATGATTTAGAATGAGTTTCTTGCCAGGCCGGCGTGGCTCAGCGGTTGAGAATCGACCTAGGATCCAGGAGACTGCGATTTGATTCCTGGTCAGGGCACTTGCCCGGGTTGCGGGCTCGATCCCCAGCAGGGGGCGTGCAGGAGGCAGCCGATCAATGACTCTCTCATCCGCTTCTATCTCCCTCTCTTTCTCCCTTCCTCTCTCCGAAATCAATAAAAACATATATTTTTTAAAAAGTTTCCTTTTAGGGGACCAAACATATTATTCAAAATGGCAAGTAGCACAAGAGGGACACATTTCTGAAGGCCTTGTGTAGTTCAACATTTTTCTCAATAAAGGAAGACAAGCCTTCTCACTGAACCAGCTGAAGTACGTAGCAACAGCTTAAACATGGGTCACAGCTCACTTAATAATTATGATAATTCATTCATGATAATTAAAAACTTTTTTCAAGGTGAAGGGATTCAGAAGTACAAATTAACAGTTACAAAGTAGTCATGGGGATGTAAAATACAGCATAGGGAATATAGTCAATAATATTGTAATAGCTATGTGCGGTGCCAGGTGAGTCCTAAACTTATTGGAGGGGGCACTTCATAAGTTATATAAATGTCTAACCACTATGTTGTACACCAGAAACAAATATTTAATGTCAATCATAATTTAAAAATAATTCAAAAACGTTTCCATTATTTCAGATTGCTTTATATAGTGTGAAATCATAAATATTTTATATTACAGTATTTCTATTCTAAATTTGCATAAATGCAGAGATCACACTGCATATATGTGGCAGAAGCATATTTTGGGCTTACAAATTAAGAAATTCTTTTTTAATTTTTTAAAATACGTCTTTATTGATTTCAGAGAGAGGAAGGGAGAGAGAGAGAGAAACATCAATGATGAGAGTCATTGACCGGCTGCCTCCTGCACGCCCCCTGCTGGGGATCGAGCTGCAACCCGGGCATGTGCCCTGACCAGAATCGAATCGCAATCTGCTGGATCATAGACCGATGCTCAACTGCTGAGCCATGCGGCCGGGCAAGAAATTATTTCTTGAATGTAAATATTTTATATGTTCTAATCATTTCAGCTATCAAAATTCAGTTTCAGTTCTTTTTTGTTTTTAAGTATGTTTTAATTGCTTTTTAGAGAGAGAGGAAGGGAGCGGGACAGAGAGAACATAGATGGAGAGAGAAGCATGGATGGGCTGCCTCTCACATGCCCCCTGCTGGGGATCATTGAGCCAGGCATGTGCCCCAACTAGAAATCGAACAGGTGACCTTTTGGTTCATGGGTAGACACTCAACCACTGAGCCACACCCAGGCAGTTTCAGTTCTGATTACTAAATATCCTTAGTAATATCATTATTCAATCTTTACCATTTAAAAGCTTACTTTATATAGGTAAAACCATGTTGTGAACAGTAGGACTAGGAACTATTACTAAGATATAAAAACGGATATATCTTCAGAAAAGTTTCTTTTCCCAAGTAAGCAAGTTCTTGGGGAAAAGTGCTAACTACCAAATCGTTCTATGTATTTAAATATTACATCCAAGGCTGCAATACCCTGGGCATCCCTTTCATATTACAGTTTCTATTATCTATAGACAATTTTAACAATTTAGCTCTAAGATGGAATCCTGCAAAAAGCATATATAGAAAGTTCTATATTTTTAAATATGAGAAAATGCTCTTTTAACCTAAATAGTTATCTGAATCTATGTATAAGCTGCAGGAAGTATAAAACAATTTTTAAAGTGACAAACACCTGATCTGAAATCACTCAACATTCTTAGCATGTTTTATTTCTCATTAAACAAATGTTCCTTTTCAATTGAGGGATAAAGAGTGAATATGAGTGATTGAAGTACTCTCTGATTTTGCTCCTCACAGCATAACTAAAAGGGGAGGGGGGTGTCAGAGTACCTCCTGGCAGTGCCACAGTGTATGGTGGTGGTTGAAAGAATGGGTGCCTGAGTCACTGGGCTCAGTTGTTTTCAGGATGGGCAACCCCGGACAAGTCATTTTATCTCTCCAAACCTCATTTTCAAATGGGTGTAATAACTGTGCTTATCTTATGGGGGTTGTAATGATTAATAAGCGTAAAAAATTTAACACTTGTATAGGGTAAAAATTCAAAGGTTGGCTATGTGTTCAGTTTTCTGCCAGAAAGAAGTGAAAAGGGCAGTGAGGACATTCAACTTGATCCATTTGGCAGTGGGCATAGATGGGAAGAAAGCCAGTCATAATTCCAGTAACTTAGAAAAAGACAGTCTTTTCAGGTCTAAATGCATTTTATCATTTCTCGGGGTGGACCACAATGAGGGACAGTGGAAGCCTGCTCTGAACCACCCTGTATTCATGTGGGTAGAAACCAGAAACATTTGTAATTCGTTAAATTGCTTCTTTAAAAAGTAAATCATTTGTGTAGAAGTAGCAAGCAATCTAAATTCAGTAATTTCAGAAGGTCTGGGACTGAGGCAGGTAACCATTTGGTCAAACTGGTTCTCAAAAAAAAAAAAGCAAGTTGAAATGAAATTAAAGTTAAAAGTATCCCCCACTAGCCTTCTCCACTCGTTGTCCAAGCAAATGAGAGAGGTTATGAAAGACGAAAGGTCAGGTACTAAGCACGGTTAGTAGCGATAACAGACGTCAAGAGTGCACCATGGGCCAGGCCTGTGTGTCCTTCTAATTCTCACTTTCTAAGAGGTGGAGCTCGGCCAGCAAAGGTAACTTCCCAAGAATGAACAGTTGTATGTGTCAGAGACAGAATTCAAACCCAAGCAATCGGACTTCAAAGCTCCTTCACTCATATCTGGAAGCAACAGTTACGATCTGTCATGTCCCCGGCCCTGGGTGGGGGTGCTCGGCGGAGAATGTCCTGTAGGTTAGGAGCCCACGATCTCCACCACTACACACGGGGAACCCCACGGAGGTGCGTTTGAACATTTGTAATCATATTTCTTCCATAACTGAAGTTAGTCTAAGCTAGTTGCTGTAGACTAAATGGCATTTGTAGGTTTGCAAAGAACTTTCCTGAAATAAAACCCTGCCGCTGCAAGTGGTGGGAGGGGCAGGCTGAGCTATCCATCAGAAGACACTGACTTGGGGCCTATTTGTCCCTTTTCCTGGTGACTTAGACAGCAGGCTACACAACCACCTCAGAGACCAAGTCACCCTGGGGCTTTGGGGGGCGCTGATTCTGGGCCACAGCTGTGACTCCCCAGCTCTCCGGCTAAGCCATGGCCACGGGAGCCTGCTACGGACACCTGCTCCCCAGAAAGAGACGGGTGCACGCTGGGGCCCGCCCCGCTCAGACACCCTCCTGGCAGAAACGGGGGCAGCAAGCAGACAGGAAAGCCAGGCCAGGCTGCAAAACCCGGCCCCGTCAGGGGCCCAGGAACCGGAGAGGAGGGGTTACGGGAGGACATGAGGTCCTGGGGGTCTCCCATGCTGGGTGGGAGCCGCCCAGGATGAGGGAATTCCTGGGGTAGAAGCTGCTGGCGCCCTCTCTTGTTGAGCGTCCAGAAAGTATGCGGACGGGCCTTTAAATGCCTTCAGTTAATCTCGCACAAAGGGCTCCGTCACTGCAAATACTCCTGTTTGAAATGCCAATTACAAGTTTTTCTCCACCTTTTGATTTCCGTTTTAATGAGGGCACTGAATGGACAGAAAACAGAAACCCTTTCATAATGTTGTCTTAGAACAGATGTTAGATAAGCTCTGTATCCTTCCTGTTTGTTTGCCTGAGAAGTACGTCCTAAGGACAGTGGATAAATGTCCTCAGGATTCCAGGCTTTCTGTTTGGGAATGTGATGAAACGCTGGAGTAATGCACACGGTGACGCCAGGGAACTGGAGGGCAGCCTGGAGTCCCGCTGGTAGGCAGGGAAACAAACTCGAGCTCTCCCGGATTCCCACGGGGTACCTACCTATGGACCTCAAGCAGCCAACGTGTGCTTGTGTTGCTCATATTTGAAATAAAACGCAGCCAGTAGAACTGCACATAGGTGGCTGTGGTATTGAAAGGAGAGCTGGGGTCCCTGGCTCTGACATGCAGGGTGGGAGAGAAAGGCGTCTGAATTTACCTGACAGTCGGGCAGTCTTGCCTCCCGGCTAGTTGTGAGCACTGTGGCGGTACGGAGGCAGCAGGCTGCTGACAATCTATAAGAAACTGATAAATTAGACATATATACAAAGAGATGACACAGCATCATGTTAGTCACTCAAGCAGCAGCTGAGAGATTTAGTGAGGAATGTGTATGCACACAGAAACATCTGGATGAAGTCCCCCCGAATCATGCCGTTAGAAAAGACAAAACTTTTTTCTTGAAATACCCTATTAAAAAAATTAGTGACACAAAATTAGTAGTGAGATTTCTCAAGTACATTAGGACATGTGTGGCCATTCATATTTGGTATTTGGATACATCCGAAAGTAAAATGTCTATTAATATGATGAAAAATCAGGTTCTGAGCTTGCACAGGATGGTAGTTACTTGCTTTGCACTTAAATCTGCTATTCCAAAATGGAATATATTCAGATAACTGACTTTGTTGTCAGGACACATGGGCATATTATCAATCCCATAGGTACACTGAGAAAAGCATGCAATACAATATTTTCCATGATTAATAGAAAGATATCAGAGAAGAAAATCATCTTTACATTTTCTGAAAATATATTTTGTCACAAGAAAGAACTGTTAGCAGAAATCTAGAATGTTTATTACATAGTAAATTGTTAGTAACTTGGACTGATAGAGAAAGCTAACCTGAATGGGAAATCCAGTTTTGTTTTATTTTTGCCACTTTAAAGTAATATATAACTCACACTAGGTTAACAAAGTGCTAGTTAGTAAATATCCAGGCTTTAGCTGATCGGTTACATTAATCGTCTACTCTAAGAAAGACCATGTTCTGGGAATTCTAAAATAATCAAAGAACAGTCTGGTCAATGGCACCAGGGAAGCTGGTTATAAACACCTAGATTATATTTCTGCAAAAAGATTTGGCAAAAAAGTTAAAATTTGAGTTAGACTTAAAGTTCAATTATTCTTAAATATTTGCAAAATTTCCTTTTGCTAGCTGTGTAGACTATGTATTTGCTTAGCGTACCTCTTTGCCTATGTTATGCAGATACTGTTTAAGCCAAATTATTACAAATTCTGGATTTATAGCCTTGAATTATTGAGGCTGTATTAAAAAAAATCTATATTCCAAAGCTGTGTTTAAGTATTACTTGTTCTAAAGCAAGTATATTCTCTATTATAACAAAACCTGATTATATAACTCCAGAATATCAAAATTCATAAAAATTACTGATACTTTTGTATAAGATATTGAAAACACACTAAAGCTGTCTTTGATGCAAAGTAGAACACAATATAAGTCAGGCTTGCTTTGAGTTCATTCAGGAGAAGATCATTATTGAAGGGACCCTTTATAAGGTGGTCTTTGTTAGGGAGTAATTTATTAATTTTTCCTTATTAATAGAAACAAGATCTGATTCTCGTTTAGTACCTGATATTCAGATTACACGCTTGGTAAAAGTCCTTCAAATGTGACAAATATTTCCATTTTTTCAGCCGTGAGGAATTCTTTAACTTTTCCCCCCCATTTTGCAGCTTGATTAGCTCAATAATTCCCTTTTGTAGAAACTCAGAGTCTTACAGGATGAATTCCTTTATGTTCCTTTTATCTTTTCTAGGTGATAATTTAGGAATCTTTTGGACTAATTTCGATAAGGATTCAGATACGGCCAGGTGTGTGCTGCCCTCCAATGGTGCACTTGGGTAAATGCAATGGATGCAAATGAACATGAACCCTTGGAAAACACTGGAATCTGGCCTCATGCCTTACAATGCAGGGGAGGTGTAACCAAAGCTCTTCTATAGCAAAGTTTCAGCCTCTATAAAATGGCAAGCTCTAGAATTAGGCTAGAGTGTTTAAATAGTTTAATTTTTTTTCCATATCTCACTTATATTAGAAAAAAAAATTTGCAAATGCAGTCAGAGATTATTCATTTAAAATATGCTTTGTGTTGAAATTTAGAAAGCAGGGGAGCAGGACTATAATTAACCACCTTAATGAACTGTTTAAGAAGAGGTGGATATTCCTTACATTTGTAGTGGATATCAGTTTTTCCTTCTTTAGAAGTAACATTACCTCTGGCTAATTATTAGGGTGTGGGGTTTTTTGCATTTATTATGTATAAGTACTGAACCAAGTGTTATCCTTAAAGAATAAAAAGTAAATTACATAAATAAGATGGTGATTGATGAATAAAAAGAAATTTAAAAAATAGCTGTATTGCTCCAACTCAAAATGTGTTCTAAATTGTTCTCGAATCTGTAGCCCTCCAACCATGTGCACATCTAACCTGGCTGAACAGCCGGTGTGTATTAGCATGTACTTTGTAAAATGAAAGGGGTGGGTTGGGAGATTGAGAAAATCTCTTGCAGCTCTAAGATGCTGTGGGCTTTCCATGATCCCGCCTGATCTGTCTACGAGCTGGTAAACTCACTCCTGAAGGAACTAGGCCTCATCTCATTGCTTTTGAGGACATAAAAGAAAAAATTATGTATTTAAGGAGGAGGCACCGCAGAAACCCAGCAGTCATTGCTGTTATCTGGGCCACCAAAATTCGTCTCAATCACTCAACAATCAAATTACTAACCTCCTATTATGTGTCTGAAACTATGTTTGGAGGTGGGGATAAGAGGAAAACAGAGAAGATACAGTCCCCGGTCAATTGCAAAAGACAAGCACATTCAACAGGCAATTACAATAAACTGTCATGACGATGCTGATGTGATGATGATGATGATGATGATGATGACAGCAGCTCACATTTATTGACTGATTACCAAGTGCCTGGCACTGTGCGGACACTGAACAGGCAGGATCTCCTCGATTTATGGACGAAGAAAGAGGGACTTCGGTTAAGTAACTTGCCAAAGTCCACTAAGAGGTGGAGCCGAGATTTGAATCTAGGATGGTATGTTCCAAGGGCTAAATTAAACTTAGAGACACATCACTACATTGCTTCCCATGACAGGGAAATTAGGGATCTCAGAGAGGTCAGGGAGTGAGTGCTCCCTGGAGATTGTGACATCTATGCTGTACACTTAAAAATATGAGTTAGCCAAGAACTTCTTAGCAACTATAAACTGTTTATGGTCTCTCCTAATAGTAATTAAATATTTTATAAAATTAAAATGTTTACTTGAACTGTTCAGAACTGAACTAAATAACACTGCACGTTTATATTATAAGGTCACAGGCCTGAGAAAGGTCATAGCACACTCAAGAGATTGTTAGTGCCTTAAGGGCAGAGATAAATAAAGGATATTATTGCTTAAAGCACCTATAGGTCTGTCTTCATTACACTGAAGAATATCCTTGTGTGACATTCCTCCAAAAACAAAGTAGAAAAGAGAATGAGGACCCAGGAAGAGAATGATTTGCTGAATCGACAGGCAGTAATTTCTTCTAGGGACTTTATATTAGTTACCTGTCTGACGTGAGACACTCTGGTGTTCTTATTTTCACTATTCCTACCATGGGGAAAATAAGTATTTTTGGTATATGGGACTATATCAAAATCTCATATATCCTGAGACTTTTTTCTCTAACATTTTTCATAATCTTTCCTACCAGAAACAAATACAGAGCTTAGCATCACAGCGGGTGGTCCACAAACATTCACTGATTAAATTAATACAGATCACCATATATATTAACTTGCCCAAGGTCACACAGCTGGGACACGGCAGAGCAAGGATTTGACTTCAGACTTTACTGATGCCCGGGCCTATTTTCTACTCACTACTCTAGCTGTCTCTCAAATTGACACCAGTAACCTCTTGAAAATAAACCTCAGGGTCATAGAATCAAAGAAACATAACTTCACCAGACAGTTGGCATAGTAATTTGGAGGCAACCAAGTACCTCAAAAACATAAAGCAAGATAAAGGGTGCAGGAATGGGGATAATATCCAGTTTCTATAAAGAGGTGGCTGAAATTAATGAATTCCATTGGCAGGGAGAGAAGTCTTATGATATGGTTTCTCCTCAGGCTTCTACTATTTTAAAACTTTTCAATGCAATTTAGAAAATTAATCGATTTTCTAAAAGTCAATGCCTTAGGGCGTCCATGAGCCCACTGGTGGCATTCGGGATGGGAGGGAGAGCCCCCTGTGGAGGAGACAGGGGACATCTCTGTGTGTTGGCTCCACACAGGGCCCAGCTGACAGTGGTGGGAGCTGGTGAGGACAGTGTGGGTGAAGGTTGATCTGTGGGGCCCACACCCGGCCAGGACGAGTAGCGGGGCTGCAGGGACGGCGTCCTGGGTGCCCAGATGCTCGGTGGGAGGCAGAGCAGCAGCTCTTTGTAGCAAACAGTCTCCTACAGAAAGGCTTGCACTCAACCCCTGGCTTCCCTGACTTGAGAGCTAATGCTTGCCTACTGTTTCATGAGGACTTATCTTCCTACCACACCTGCTTCCCTCATGGCCATAAACTCCCGCAGGCGCCCCACGCTTTCCCATGAAAACTCTCTCTGTCCCCCGAGTTTTCCTTAGGCCAAGTTCTCACTCACAAGACAAGATTTCACCTTCCTCACTCTCCTCCTTGCTCCCTGACCGTGTTCCAGTCTGTGCACAACCTTCTAAAAATGAGGTGTTCAGAAAGGAGACCGTGTGTGATATGACTGGCGGAGCGGAGTGGCAGAGCCCTGCCCGTCTGAGACCCTGATTCTGTGAAGAGGGCAGAAGCCTGCAGGGCACTTTTTTGGCAGCCACGTGGCACTGCTGTTTCCATGAGCTGGCTCTGCGGACAGTGCTCCCCAGGCATGCTTCCTCTATCCTGTACTTACGGTGTCTGGACCTCCACTGGACTATTTTATATGCTTTTAGCTTTTTGTTCATCACTAATAAAAGTTTCACCTTTTCCTACCTGAAACATCTTTCAGATCCGATTCATATTAACTTCCTCTCTCTTTTATTTCTCTTTCAAATCAGAAAATGGATAACCATGACCTTGATATCTTTATCTAAGATTAGGAACTAATAACAAGGCCAGGCTAAGTAGAGATAATATTTCATAAATATCAATCTATGAATTTGGACCCTTTGAACATGCCCATTCAACCAGTTATGAATC